AAAAAAAGATTGTTGTTGTTGCAGTTCCCCTGTGTGTTTTTAGGAAATAATCTGTAATCGCCTACATTTTCATGTCATTTTCTACTCATCAAAATAAAGTTTCTGATATATTTCACTGGACTGAATGTACTGAATTTAAAAAAAATAAAGTCCTTTTGCATTTACTTATGCAAATTTACTTGAACTTTACCATATTCTGTCTCCTAGGGTTAGTTTGAATGTTCATGTTGACCCTGTTAATAAAGTTTATCTCCAACTCTGGCAGCCCTACCTCTCAGTCATGCTGACCAGAGGTTCGCTGGAAGTCGTAGTGTCTACCGGCAGCCACAATCGGCGACAAGCCACCAGACGACCTGAACAAGGCACGCTGAATGATGGCAGAGAGCACACACTCCGCATAGAGAGGCTAGCTGGCAGGTTAGCGTTTGTTTTTGCTATGAAGTAACAAACTCCTGTTGAAGATGTTTTATTGTGTGTTATAATCCATTTCCTGATTTTGGAATTTTTCTTTGTTTTCCAACAGATCTTTTGCAGTCCACGTGGACGATGAAGCCAGGATGCAAGGCGTGCTTCCCAATGACCAGCCATTGAACTTGCAGCGTATCTTCCTTGGTGGTATTCCCGCAGAAGTAGAGCAGACCTCCAACAGAGCCAACATCCCCTTCAAAGGATGCATATGGAACCTCATGATCAATGCTGTGTATGTTAAACTTTGTCACTCTGTCAGATTTAACTGTGAACAGATTTGTTTTCTACAAATGTATTTGATGCAGGCATGATCTTCAGTTGAACAGCAGAGTGTTTGGTGTTTTTTTAAGATGAATAACAGCAGTTTATTGAAATGCTAGTTTAGGCTGTAGACTTGTTTTTAAGTTAGCTTTTAAAAAAATTTGATACAAACAGTGTGGATCTGCCACTAGAAAAGCTTCTGTCTCCTACGATGTTGAGATCACACATGGGTGAAAGTACTAATTCACTATCCCATTGCTTTACATTATGTTTAAAATGTTCCTGTTAAACCTGTTTGATCCATATTTAAACACTGTACTTACTGTCTTAATGATCACCATAGACTTTATACACTGACAGGTTAAAGTGTAGTTAATGCAATTGCAGCAGGTCACGGTCGTGCTGGTGGTGTTGATGATGATAAAGCCTGTCTTTCTGCCTGAACAGCAGTAATTGAACTGTCCAGCATCATAAACATGCTCATAACTCAGATTACACCACCTTGTCTTTGTCTGTTTATGATTGCGTCGTTCCCTTCATTTCAGCCCTATCACCCCGACCTTTTCTCAGCTTACATCTGCGTGCCTGTCTGTCAGTTCACTCAGTGGCTGAAACAACCTCTCCCCTTTAGGACAACCTCCCTTTAAGCCAGGGGTGTCCAACTCCAGGCCTCCAGGGCTGGTGTCCTACAGGCTTTAGATGCGTCCTTGATCCAACACAGCTGATTTAAATGGCTAAATTACCTCCTCAACATGTCTTGAAGTTCTCCAGAGGCCTGGTAATGAAATCATCATTTGATTCAGGTGTGTTGACCCCGGGTGAGATCTAAAACCTGGAGGATGCCAGCCCTTGAGGCCTGGAGTTGGACACCCCTGCTTTAAGCCAAAAAGATCTGGTTGGCAGTCCCATCCAAGTAAAAGACCTGAGTGCGAATGCTCTGCTCACACATATGTATCTAAATGATGAGAGCAGGAGTTGGAAAAACCCTTGTAAGCTGGGCTTTTAGAGCATTCTGAAGCCTAAGCGTTTGGCTAACAGGGATTGTTTAGTCTTTCGCTGGTTTTTTGCTGGTATTGTATCTAAGGCAGAACCACTTTTGTCAAAGAAAATGTTATATCCATCTAAAGTAATGTTATGTAACAGAGCAGAACAAAGATCGTGACAAAAGATGTGAGAGGCTCGTGGTGAAGCTGGTTGCAAAGTGCCTTGAAGAGAAAAAAGCAAGTGGAGACAGGCGAAAAGCTACTTAAAGAATGTGCCCTGTGTGAAACAAATATATGTATAAATACTTGGAAGTGTATAAACTGAATCAGCTGGCATCAGTTGATGTATTGGAATCAGGGGCTAAACTTGGTTTTGGGGCTAAAGTTGGTTTTGTGGCCTGCCTGATCTAAGACTATACTCAGTTGATTTAGCCATAAAATTATGTGCATGTCAGGCCTGTTTACAAGTTTAGTAGCTCATCAGATAGGCAAGATTGTTGTTTTTATTCACCAGCGGGGAATCCACCACACGCGACAGTGATGATAGTCATTTCAGCCTGATATTTCTTAGTTGCAGTTTTATTTGTATATGTAAAATACTAAATATCTACTTTATGTTGTGAAGAAAATGAAATTAAGGCTTGAAATAATAAACCATAGCAAACCTTGATACTTACAGATTTATTTAATTCTGTTGTGCACATGATTTTTACATCTAACTGCCTGTTCCTCTCTCAGTTTGTCAGATTTCGCTCAGTCTGTTTCCTTTGAGAATGCTGAAATTGGTCAGTGCCCGAACCTCGCCCCACCGCCACCTCCACCTCCTCTACCAGCAGAGAAGGAGCTCGAGAAAGAAAAAGAGGATTCAAAGCCCTCAACCCCCATCTCACCACGTCCAAGTCCTCCTGCTGTAAGTTTAATATAGCAACATGCCCTTAAACTAATAAAGGATGTTACAACTATTAAGTAAATTGTAATGGCCATTGTTTTTGTTAGTCAGCCTGTTTTGTTTGAACATTTTCAAAATATAAAAACAAATAATTATGTGCATGTTAGGCACATAGAACACAGTGTAGTAAAAAGACACACATTCACCTGTGTACAGCTGTCCTACAGGGCTACAGTGCTATTTTTCTGACTCTGTTATTCAGAATATACTCTCACTCCCTTTCTCTCTCTGATAAAATGCAGCCATGGCCTGCTGTGTTAGCTTAGCAATTCATCACACAGCAGTTGTACAGCCCATTAACTTTTCTTTATAGTCCCTTTAGCCTTGAGTCACTAAACGCCAGCCCTGGCAGCCTGTCATACAGAGTGGAGCCATGGCGTTATGCTAGGCTAACTGTGCATACAATTAATGCTTTATGAGTGCAGAGGAGCCAAACACTCTGAGCTAACATTTAGCCACTATTCTAAGAAGCTGGCAGGCGGTAAAGTCCGTCATTTTTACACTCTTAGCACCGGGTTAGGCAAGATATATTTCACATATATGGCTTACAGCAGGCATAGGTTATCAGTTACCCAGTTAGCTGCTAAACTACACCTCTTAAGGAACATTGATCTTCAAGCACAGAGCCAAAGAACTCTGCTGTCCTAGCTATAATTCTGGTTTGTTGCTTTATGGGCTGAGAATTCATCTGATTTTATGATTTAGACTGCAGGCTGTAAAAGCCACAGTTCTCTGAGTTCTCATCTACACATTAAGTGTTATTAGGGGTTTTTTTTTATGTGTATTTATATATGTCATGCTTTGTTTGTTTGGTGCTTTGTTAAGACTCTTGACTCCTAGAGAAGTCTGTTAAATTAACATCATAATGTAGTATACATCATTACTGCCATTTTTGTCTTGTACTGGATACAACACTGTTAAAATATTGACATGTTTTCATTATCAAACAACAGTTTTTAAAAATTGAACGGCACAATTTTGGCTATTAGCACATTGTTTTCAAATGATTAAGCAATGGAGCTCTGCACACAGGTTGTGACATGAATTTTTCATCAGCAGTAGGAGGATTTTGTCAAAATGAAGAAGTAAACACTGGTTGAATCACAGTTGACAGAACACAACAACTCAGCATGCGTATGAATGAAAAGAGCTTCTTTACTTCCCACTTCTCTGTCACGGCTTCTGTATTTGTGATTCTTCTGATAGTCACCGAGTACCAAGTGAGAGGTCAAAGAGGCTCCATAGGCCTCAGTGAACCTCTGAAAAATATAACTCAGACTTTAATTTGAGCATTTTCCTTTTTCTCTTTGCATTCTGATTGATAATGTGACAACTGCCTCTAATTAGCTTTTTAAATCTTAGGTCTATAATTTCCTTCATTTACACTGAGCTGCAACATTAATAATGTTAAACAGGCTATATTTTCAGCTGCAAAATTTGACTTTTTCTTTAAAAAAAACCCCAAAAAACTAGAAATAGGCCTTGATCTATTCATCTGTTAGAAGAAACTATGATAAGAGTCTAATAAGGAAAGGGAACCGTTGCTTTTTGGCATTATCATCTGCTCTGTCATCGTTCTGTCTCTCTGGCTGCCACTAATCTGCTTCCTTCCAACTCTCCAACTGCTGACTTGCAGGAGGCCACGTCCCCTTCCCTACCTGCTGCTGCAACCCGTGCACCTGCTACTGTAGCACCGTCCAGTGATAAACAGAAACCCAGCTCAGATGTGGTATACACACACATGCAAACACACGAACTCAGTACTGGTTTGCTATTATTAAGTCAAGTGTAAGATTGTGTCACTCAGATTTTGTAGTTGTAGGTAACTATTCTCAGACACAGATTTAGTGGACTGGAGAGTAACCTTGTGTTTACTCCACCCATGGCATCATTCCTTCTTTGGCCTTAGGCTAACAAGTTATCATGAGACTGACCCAAGGTTCTCTTCTATCTGTCTGCTACTTGAGGCCAGGCAGAGAAATTGGTGCAAACACAGCCCTCAACTGGCAGTGACTGACCACCTCTGCCAGAGCAGCTGAGGGTTAAGTGCTTTGTTCGAGAGCCCTTAACATCAGGTACTGAGAAGAAGAGGGGCTTACTTGTTTGATATTCCGATGGTGTATCTGTTATAGTTTGGGATGCACCAGTTTATCAGCTGAAATTAACCTTGTTGACTGACTTCAACGCATTGGCAAAAGAGATGACATTCACTGAGAGGAGTGTTCAGCATTTATTTTGTGTGTTCCATCAATTTTGTGGTCTCTGGGATTCAGTTTCATTTAAAGACAGCGTGGCAGGGAAAATCTGAAAGATCTGAGATAATCAAATTGAGAAATGTCTCTGTTTTCATGGTACAAAAGAGGGCATGAATAATAAAAACTAAATAAACAGAAAAAAAACAAAGGTTCACAGGATTCTGGGTGCTCCTGTGAAAGACTAAGAATGACCGCATCGTGACTTGGTAGCTTGTAGAACATCCTTTAGCAGCAATACCTTGGATTAATAATTATCTATATGAATTTAACAGTATCTCACATTGTTGTGGAGGAAGCCTGGCCCACTCTTCTCTTCGTCCCACCATAGCATTTCAGTCAGGTTGAGGTCTGGTCATTGAGTTGGCCATTGCAACATCTTGGTTCATTTCTTCTTCGGCCATTCTGTTGTAGATTTGCTGCTGTGCTTGGGATTGTTTTCCTGTTGCAGTTGCAAGCTTAAGACTTTTTCCTGACAACCGTTCCAAATAAGCCATACTTGTTAAGTCTTTTCTCTTTTCCTTCACTTTCTCTAAACATTGCGCAGTTGGACCTAGAGGGGAATTTTCACTCCTGTGATTGTGCCATTGTTTTTAACATGTACCTGAATGCTCCAGACCAGCAAACTACCACATAAATAGTATGTATTATACACCTGTAAAGCTATCATCCCAGATTTTCACAATCATAGGTATAACAGGTGATCCAGCTGCAGTATATCAGTTTGATCTGCAGTTCTTGTTCCTAAAAGCTTTTTTCCAGTGGCTGAAATAACTATAGTTATATACTATAACTATAGAAAGTGGTGGAAACTCTTACCTACACACACAGGCTCATCTTCACTCGTCACAGACATACACACACACATATATATATACATAAATTTCTGGCTAAAGGACAGATTCTATTGGTGTGACCTCCAACCAAAGACCTGAATGGAAGACCGTCTTCCCATTGTTAGCTTAATGGAAATATGCAGAAGGGATGAGAGAAAGGAAGGGAAGAAGAGGAGGATGGAAAAGGATAGAAGAAAGACGAGAGGGAAGAGAGAAAAGGTGCAACGAAAAGGGAGAGTCTTTCTGAACAGAGTGGCGCTCAGCTTTTGTTGGCTTAATGGAAAGACGGAGGAGAGGAAGCGGGAGAAGAATGAAAGGAGAGGGAAGTAAAGGACTTCTGAGCAAGTGACGTCTCCCTTTTGTTAGATAGGGGAAGAATAAGAAAGAGGAAAAAGACTGAGGTTGAAGAGGAGGAGCGGATATGGGGACAGAGAGTGATAAGAGGTGAGTGTCAGCTGTAACAAAGCAAGGTCACGGTGTGGGGAATGTCTTCACTTGAAAGGGAACAAGAGAGGATTGGAGATTGAGACACACATACACTCAGTCGTCTCAGCTCCTCTCTCTCTTGCTAACTTTGTCACGCACTCACACTTGAAGTATGGCAAAGTACCTGTATCACTTAATAGGCATTACTGTATATTCAAAAGCAGAGAGACACAAACTACAGTGTGAAGCTTTTGGAAGGGGGGGAAATTAGGGGGGGAGGGGGGGGGATTGGGGGGGAGGGGCAAAGGAAAGACCAGATACTGAGGTGTGAACAGAAGACTAGTCTAGATCTGGAAAGACTATTAGAGGTGATACGAGGTAACAAAATGAAGTAGAAGCACAGCGGAAGGACTTCAGGTGACTGTAAGTGAGACAAGATAGAAGTGTAAGATAATAAAAAATAGAGGGAAACAGATAAGGGCCAAGGACAAGAAGTAAAGCAAGAAGTAGAGAGAGAGGACAATGACAGGAGGGTACGATGGGAACAGAGGGTTTGGTAAGTAAAAGCCAAAAAAAGAGGTGTAGAAAAATGGAGAAAGTTGAGGGAAATAGAAGATCAGTACAGTTTGCGAAGAACAAAGCAGAAGAAAAACCATGTACGGTAAAAGACTGTGGAATGAGTGGGATTTATCGGTACATGCTGGTACAGACAGCAGGAGGAGAGGGAAGAAAGGATAATTGGGTGGGTGGGAAGAGAGGCAAAGATGGTAAAGCAGATGATGGGAGCACAAAGGACAAAGAATACTACAGGAGACTTAGAAAGAAAAAATGAATAAGAAATATAAACCAGTGAAGATGAGCAGTATAGGGGGGGAAAAGACAGATGTTTTGAGTTTTGAGACAAGTAGACAAAAATAAAGGAGGTATCATTTTTTTTGAAAAGGAGAAAGTGAAATTGATATTGTTTTAGAGTAACCAACAAAGTAAAGTTGCATCTGATGCTAGTATAGGAAAATATGAAAGCAGAGGGAATAATTGTGGGGAAATAAAGTAATTGTAAAAGTGAGGACAATGGAAGGAATAAATAAAGTAAGGAAAAAGAAGAAGCAAGATAAAAGTATGCAGGAGTGGAGGGAAAAGGAAAGCAGCAGATGGGAGGATAGGTGGGCATCATGAAATTAAGGAAAAAATAAAGACTTGGACAAGGAGGAAAAGGAGAAGAGGTATAAGAGTGAGGAGGGATTAAATAGAAGCAAGCAGAAAAGAGAAATGTCTTGGAAGGCCTAAAATAAGATGGTGTGAGATACAACAATGACACCTGGTGGTTGCTGACTGAACTGCAGAGTGCGGGAAGAGACAGAGCACATAAACACTAATTTATGAAAAGTTACTAAAATAATACACAGCTAAAGCAATTCAAGAATGAATAGTGGAATTGTAAAGCGCTTTGAGGGCCTCGAAAAGCGCTATATAAATGCGATCCATTATTATTATTATTATTATTATTATTATTATTATTATTAAGAGAAAACAGCTGTGATGCCTGGTTTAGATGAAATAAAAACATGCACAGGGGTCCTAAAAATTAGACGATTCCATGTTCCATAGAAAAACACCAAATCTGCCATGCCACCAGCTGTTTTGATGTGATGAAGAACATAATTCATAAGCATGACAAGCATCCAGTCTTCCGTTTTCTTAACCACTTAACCACAGGCTTTGTTGGAAGGATCTGAACCAACCTATGATGATACACACACCATGGGTTTCATGGTCCATAATATAGCAGCAGTGCGAAAGATTGAATCTCAAAGATTGAGATTGAGAATGTTATACTGGACTGTGTTTGACAATAAGATTATTTTTAATTGACTGTATTGTTTAAATTAGAGTTTTAAAATTACATCATAAATACCCCATCTAAAAATTACTGTGCCTTTAAAGTGAATTTTTTTTAAAAACATTTTCAATGATCTCTTATGTAAAGTACTGTTTGGTGCGTCATCGTGACCTGCCAACCCTGCGAGCCCTTGCAGATCAGAAGAACGAACCCTATTAGTGTGATTGGCATGTGTTCTGCCTGGGTATTAGGGTTCACAAGAGCCAATTGAAGCAGTGCGGTGAGACCTTGTCACTGTAACTGACATGCTATGTCCCAATCTCCAGGAATCATGTGCATCAGCTGTGGCCCCAACAGCACTTGAGAAGGCCTATCAGTTTGGATTGACCAGAAACAGCCACATGAGCTTCGCCTTTGATGACAACAATGTCAGAGACAAGTACGTTCAAAGCAAATGAGCTTTTTCAAATGAACAATGGATTTGAGTTATTTTTTTTTTAATGGTTCTTGGCTAACATGTAGACAGTGCTGCTTTGTGGAATTTAGGTTTTTACAGTTAAGTTATGCAGTAGCTGTCACAGATGAGACAAACCTTGGTAGTATTGTCTAAAACTTGGATGTAATAGCAATAAAAATATTCATCTCAATCAATTTGAGTTTATTGCAAATTATTTACTGTAAAGAAAAATGTGCAATGGGAGGAAATATTCCAATATTATAAAGTAACAGTTGCATGATCACCTCAGTAAGAAATTGTAATATGCAAGTAGAACTGTGTGCATTTGAAGCACATTGTAAGTATGTCATTATTACAGATGATATGCCCTTAAAGTTTTTCTGAATAATTACATAGTTGGATGAAGCAGCATAAAAAGAAAATACTGTAAAAGTTAGTCACCCCAGTTACAAATGTAGCTACAGTATAACCCCACCACCTGTAACATAGTGAACATAGCAACCCCAGATATGTGTGTGTGATCTGCAGTACGGCGCACATTTCTAAATAAATAAATAAAAAGCAGAAGTGAGCGGTAGTTTTGACAGGATGTGATTCCTACAAACAGAAAGGTGTACACCGGGTTATAATCTACTGTATAAGAAACAACGTCTTAAAAAAATGAACATGTTGGCTGGACCAGCCATCAGAACAACCCCTCTGGTCCACAGCAAACTGACAGTAGCAAAAAAAAAAACCACACTCTACAAACAAGGCGAAGGTCTGAGTATGTTTTAGTTGTTGTCCTGGTGGTCTGTGCAAACGAGGGATTTGTGTCTTGGGCAGTGTCTCTGACTGTTTTAAGAATCTCACTTGTAACATTTAATTACTTCACATGCTCCCTAAGCTGCAAGGCAGCCTGCTGTCCAAGTAAATCACCATGTATCCATTACTCTGTGTATCTGTCAGTGCTAGAAAACACAAACCTGACTCAGATATTGAACTCTTCAAACTTAAGTTTGTCCTTAGAAACACTTCCTGTAATAATCAAGGCTATGCAGAACTAAAGACAATTACTAATGTAAATCTTTTGGGTGGAAAATATGGTTTGAAATATTGAAATGGTACAGTCAAAGAACATACTAGACATTATTTTGTATGCTGTATGCCCTGATCTCAATCAATCGAATCGTTTGACTAAGATAATAACAGAAACTGGTCACAGGCCTTTAAGATTTCCTGTCTCACGCGAACTCTTATTATTAGAATTTAGTAATGTCTTTTTGCATCAGTAGCATCAGTCATATATTTCACGTAGGCTTTTTTGACTCTTTGTTTCTCTCTTTTCAACCATTCATTTGTTCATTAGGCTGTTCATGGTTGCTTTAGGTTGTGATCTTTTTGGACTGCTCCTACAGTAACTTCAGAGTCACAGGCTACAGGGCACAATGATTGCAAGGAATCCAGGTGCTTAAGTAGCAAAGCCTGAAAGGTCTCTTGCAAACCTAAAACATGCCACAATGTGGTCGTGCAATGGCTTTCATTAACTTAAATTCTAAATGTGAACTCTAGCAAGTTGTAATGATTTATGCATCTGTTATGCTTGAGTTCTTCTTCACTAGGACTTCAGGATATATGGTGGATGTCAGCTTCCAGGAGAGTAGCAACAGTCCTGTATTTCCTCCATTTATACACAGTTTCTTATTGTGGATTTATAAACACCCAGGGACTTAAATACGCTTTTGATGCTTCACATACAGTTTTTCTATGATGCTGCTTTTAGGTCCTGGGTTCAAACCAACGTATCTTTCTTTAGAGAGCAGGCGTTGTCAGTAAGAAGACTCCATGTTTTTATTTAAAGAGCCTCACAGCTCTATAGCCACCTCTTCCAATCCCTCTCTCCAGTTAGCCGTAAGAGAAATCATTAATCAAGAGGTTCATTTCTTTCTTTCTTTCTTCTGGTCTGAGTCTGTGTGATTACTGTTAGTGTGTCATCAGTTTAGTCAGATCCTGTTTGCCTTGACAATTCAGAAACCCTTTCTTGCAACTGTACTACAATGTATTCCTGTGTTTGTTTGTTGTGGTTTTTTTCTCCACAGACTGAAAATTGAGTTTGAGCTGAGGACAAAGGAGTCATCCGGTCTTATTTTCTACATGGCAAGAATCAACCATGCTGACTTTGTTTCCATACAGGTAACTATCTAATATACTGGCAGGTGTTTTTAGTTGTTTCTTTACTGCTGTTTGCCCTGTAGTATTTTTTTAGTTTAAGACTTAATCTCATAAAGAGATGTAAAGTTTGATCTTTGTGTGTTTGTTTTCCAAATTAGGCCCAGTAGGTACACACTCTGAACTGCTTTTACAACTTAAAAGGTTTCACCTGATAAATTTCCAGTTTGATTTCTGTCTGTGCTGTAGAACTGTATAGAGGCTAAAGCTGTATGTACTCTGTTTTACATGTCTGATTGTTATTCTCCTTCATCTATCATGAAAACCCTTTTTTATTCTTTAAGATCAAGAATGGTCAGGTTTGTCTGGGTTATGATCTTGGCCATGGAAACATATCTGACTGTGTCCCATACTCCATCAATGATGGAAGCTGGCATAAGGTACAACAGTTCTTACGTTTTTAACACATTTCTTCAATTATTTGAACAGCACCTCCTGTCTGGATTTGATCTGCATGACATCTTGTATGCAACATTATGATAAGATTCAAAATCTTTACTGTTTCAAGAACTTAACTGCAATAATAAAAGTTGTGCTGCTTGTTCTTTTATAGCTCTTAAAAGAATTGTTTAGAATAGAAAATCTGCACTTTCCTTATTAGGAATAACAATTTGTGTTACACTGCAATGAACACATTGGAAAAGTCACAGCACGTAAAGACAAGTTGTCAGTCTTCATACGTCCAAGGCAACATTTTGGTCATTGATGAAACTATCGGATGCTTGTGATTCAGTTACTTCACCATGTCTACTTCCTTTTTGTTCTCTCTCTGTCTCTGGTTTTTGTTCCTAGATCAGCGTAACGCGTGACAGGCAGAGAGCCACGCTTATTGTGAATAGGCGGTTCCAAAAAATGATGTCAAGTCCAAAGAAGGTGCTCAGAATAACTCATACATGTAGCATAACACAATGCATGACCTGCAAAAGCCGTAATTTGATCAAACTCCGCTTCTCATACGTTACTCATTACTTGTCAGTGACATCAGAAATAGTCCTTGGACCTGTACTATAAATGAAGTTTATACATCCAAGGTGTTATTCCTTATCTAGCTTCTTAACACTGGCAGTCCTGCCAAACAATAAGTCAACCTAGGGGTTCGATATCTAGCTACAAGCGCATTTCCGTGAAAGAAGTGGTGTTGGCAGCATATGCTGCCAGGTCTGCTGGCTGCACAGCGGTGTATTTTATTAAAAACCTACACTATAATATTTCAGAAATATGAAGAGGTTAAACGGAGTATCTAAGCTGTAAACATCAATACATCTGTAAGTGTCCATAGTGATGTACACAGAACATCACAGAGAGAACCAGCTCCATAACTTTGAAACCTAGAATTAAAAGTTGAACTTGCATCACTGAGCCCAAGTCCTGTTTCTGCCCTCTATCGTCACAATGAGGTGGTCAAAATCCTGCCATTATAATGTCATTCAGTAAATCATGAACTTAAACTGTGGCTAACACAAAGTTGCACAATGATTTATGTTAAAGATGTTGTACACAGCAGTACAGGAAACCAAAATAAAGCGTTTTACAACACTGCGTAGCACAAAGGAAAAAAATCCCAGAGGAAGCATCAGAAAAGACTCTTTGCATGTTGCATTGGGAGAGGAAATATTTGTTCATATTTGGACTTGAAACTGTAACCCAGCAAGGGGGTGTATTCACTGTTTGCATTTCTAATTTAATATTTTTATGCTGTATTTTTGTGTCTTGTCAATTTTCTCTGCTACATCACCTTGACATGGTCATCTCGAGACACATTATTGTAATAATTAATAATATAGGAAGCAGACAGACAGAATTGCTTTTATTATCTGTACTAATAGAGATGAAATTGTGTGTCAAAGTGACTGTGAGCACTGCAGAAATATTGCATTAATGAACTGTGTTCTTGTTGCCAGGCTGACCTGTTAGATGTGGTGGGGATTCTGTACATTGGCGGATTACCACAAAACTATACCACAAAACGAATAGGACCGGTAAAACACACACACACACACACACACACACACACCATTTAAAAATAGGTAATACGTCTTTCATTGCATGTCAACACATGCCATCATATTTTTTATTTTATTTCGGTGCTTCACTTGTTTGTTGTCAGTTTAGTTGTTTTCGATTAATTGAAATAGCTTGAGTGTCATTTCAGTATAAAAATTAAGAACTTTTAGCATGATTATCCAGTTTTCGAGGACTCCGATTTTGAGTGATTTTTGTTCAACGAAAGTCATTTTTATCAACTCTTTTTTTTCTTCGTCAAGATTCTCTATAGTATCAATGGATGTATTCGTGACCTTAGGGTGGCTGGAAGCCCTGTAGGAGGTGTTTCAGGTAATGGTTTGTATTGTAATTAATGAGTGCATATCGGTTTTAATGTCTCTTTTGTTTTGTTGTGGGGTTTTTTTCTCAAAAGAATAGTGCAACAGCTTGATATACGAGATGCTATTTTTGAATGTGCCCAAATTGTTTTTATTAACTTTCTCTCATTCTATCAAGGTTCTTCTGAGTCCATGATTGACTTTAAACTAGACATGGCCACACCCACATCCAGTCATATGGTTGGAAGGTGCTTCGTTGCTACTGAGACAGGCACTTATTTTGAGGGCACTGGCTTTCTAAAAGCAGGTGAGATGACGCTCAGAGCATGTACGTGAAAGGGGAACATAAGGCTGGGATTTTTTTTTTTCCTGGTCATGTTGTAATTACCTAGCAATGACCTGATTTTGGTTCTTTTGCTGTTTTATTTTATTTTATTATATATTGATCTGAATAAATTTTACTTATTGAAATGTCTTTGTACAAAATGTCCCTTCCATTTCTCACCAACAGTTTTTCTTTGTCTTTATCTAGTCTCATCCTATAGAGTGGGTCTGGATGTGTCCATAGCATTAGAGTTCCGAACCAGCAGAACCAGTGGAGTGCTTTTGGCAGTCAGTAATCAAGGCAATGATGGACTGGGGCTAGAAATTGTCGATGGCAAGGTACGCAACACTCATTTATGGCTCAGTTGCACCAAATGTAGTGTGTATAGTAAATATAGGATAAGACCCTCCTCGTGACTAGAAAAAAACAGCAGGGATTGCACTGAATTTTTTTCACCTTTGCTGACTGAATGCAAGTAGTTGTGTTGACCAGCTGGTTGTCCAGAGGTTGAACATGCAATGCCCTTAACCTTTGGGCAATCATTTCTGACAGATATATCAGCAGTAAATCTTTGCTACTGTCTGATTTAGAAATGCAGAAAAATTGCCAACACATTGCAATCAATCTTGGTCACTTTGCACCAATGAGCGCAATTTGTCTGTGACGTGTCTCACAATAAGTTCCCTGTTGTTAGACACACTGAGGGAATCACAGAAATTATGAACTCCTGAATTTTAGTTTCAAATCTACGAAGTTCTGACTGGACTTTCAACATAAGTACTTAATGTGAATTTCTGTGTAACAGATTTGCGATTATTACAAACAGATTGCATGTAATTAACACAATGAAGCCATTCAGTTGCAGACTGACACTGTTTTGTGCAATTATGGTCACAGACATAGCAGCCATGTTCGAAATGGCCGCTTCCAGTTTCATTGTACATGGTCTTAATAATTTTGTTAATGTTGCAATTTCCAGCCACCGTTGCACTGCGCAGTGGTTCTCAAACGTTTTACATCATTCCCCACGTGGCAAGAAGAAATACTTTCAAGCCCCATCTAAACAAAATAATGACAGAAAAGCCTGGCTACAACTTTATTTAGATAATAAACTCATTCACAATGAAGCATTCTGTAATTTTTGTTTTAAACAAACAATTTTCATTTCAAACAACAATTTTTTAAACTTTTATCACTAGACTGCTTCATTAGTCTGCACCACTTCTTCAAAAAGGCAAAAGGTTAAACAGAATGTGAACATTGCCAGACATGGAAAAATAAAATTCAGTCTTAGTCTTATAAAAAAACGAAATCCCCAGAAACTTGTGAACAGAGGTGAAAAATATATAATTTAGTGAGAGTTTAATGCTATTCACTCTTAAAGGCTGCAGTCAGCCTGTTTTTGACTGCAGAGCTGTGGCGGGGCGTGGCTGCGGGGAGATAGACGCACCTGTGCGGCATCCACAGTCACGTCTCCCTGGCTTAGAACAGAATGAACTGGGTCCTGTTGTTGTTGTTGATATGCGTAGGCTGTAGCCGAAAAGCTGCAGCCGCGCGTGTAAGTCGACAGGCGCAATATAGTGCGAACATGCACCCCAATTCTGGGTTTTGGCACCACTGTAAACGATGGACGACAGACCCAACCACATGTTCGCACTTTTCACTACACTTCTTTATTGCGGCTGTTGAATTACACGCGCGGCTGCATGCAGCTTTTCAGGGATGCAGCGGATGCGCATATTATTAACGTAACTGCTGCAAATTTCTTGTTTCTTTCCGCCGTAAAAGTGATTCTGATGTTAAACAGTAGTTCTGCATGACTTTTCTGCCAGGTCACTTGCGCCCCACCTGTCAGAACTCCAGTGGGGTGTGCCACACACTTTAAAAACTGCACTAACCTGACTGTAGTATAACGGACTATAGTATAAAGTAATAATATTTGTGTGAAATGCACATATTTAAAAAACTCACATTATAATATTACAGAAATATGAAGCGGTTAAACACAGATTTTTTGCTTATTTAAGCAGGACAGTATAACTATTGAGATCAAAAATCTCTTTTACAAGTGTGTTAGTTTTCTAGCCAAGAAATACAGCAGTAAAGTTGCAAAAAACTGGTAACACACAGAAAAAAATACACAAGTTAAGTACTCTAAAATAAAAACCATAAAAATAAAATACAAAAGCAACCAAAATGTATAAATGTCATCACCAATAAACCCTGCAAAATCAATAAAAGTAATTCCCACAATTTTTTGATAAATGGAAGTCAGTAAGACAGGCGCAGACTATATAAATAAGACCTTAAAAATAAGAATGTACCAGACAAACCAGACCTCCCAGCACAAGCACACAATGTACAGTGGCAGGTAAACGCTTTAAGGTTTCTAATACATCTCAGTGCTCAGTTATAGAAAGAATCCAGCATATGTAAACGTTGTAATGTAAGTGAGTATCTCGACTTTTAATATATATATTTTGTTCAGTAAAAATGTTTTATATCTCGTTGAAAATTATCCATGGCTCTGCTGTTTCTGCAACAAAATCATAACAGAAAGTCGTCGTCATTAGCAACAACCGAAGCTGCTGCACATTAATGCGCAACGATTGCGATAAATAAATAAGTTAAGGCTAAGTGACCTCTTGGGCGGTTCTAGCATTAAAGATTTCCTGGATATCTTGAATTAGTTGTCAGCAATCTGAAATTGATTTAGAGAATCACAGCAAACTTTAAAATCATTCCAATTCAAGTCTTCCATAAGAACCATTTACTTAAAATTCACTTTTAATAAAAGCTTCATTAAAGAGGGTAGTGCACTTCTGACAACTGAGGATGTTCTAGAGTAGCCAAGTGTAATCTGGAGGGATTCAAAGACCTCAGGATCAACTACCAAAAACTGAAATGATCAAAAACTCACTGATTCAGAGTTTTTGCCAAATATTATAATACCCCTGACTTTTTAGATCACTCAGTCCTATATACATATAGCCCATCAACACTAATATCTGTATTTGTAATAGATTTGCCTAACCAGATTTCAAATTAAACTATAATATTAGAATGTGCTCAAATGCTAAGCATAACCATAGCAAATAAACTATGTATGTTCAAATGAAGAAAACATAAATCTGTTTTAAAATCAACAGAAATGTTAAACCTTGTGCTGGAAGCAGGGCCAGAAATAAGAAGCAACAGAAGAATTAAACACTTGTCCTTTTTTAAGATTTTAAACCATTGTAAAATAAAATAAATGCTGCTTAGAGGAAAAGGACATTGATACAAATTTGATCTTAAAAAAACCTTAAAAAAACAGCAAAAATAACATAAAGGGAAAATACCTCCAGATAGAAAGCTTTTTCCGTTGTGAGGTTTGGGAATATCAAACATGTTCTTGGTCCATCTCCACAAATTGAGGATTTGTTTTTTACATAAACTTGTCACAAAAAGTAATTTTTACTTAGTATTTTTTGTGAAAACTTTATAAAACTTTTCACAAACTAATTTCAAAGAATTTCAAAGAATTATGATATTAGTTTGACTACATGCAGTAAGCTTGTTTGTTGTTTCCATGTGCCTTTCCCTCCCTCTTAGCTGCTCTTCCATGTTGACAATGGAGCTGGGCGTTTTACGGCAGTGCACGTTCCTCAGGGAGAAGGCTTCTGTGATGGACAATGGCACTCCATCACCGCCACCAAGAAACGGAACAAGCTGGAGCTGGTGGTTGATGGGAAGCAGAGCGATGCAGCCAGTCTGTATGCACACTCTGTCACCTGTGACACCAGCGACCCCATATATGTTGGAGGATATCCTGGTATGAATGCCACCTACCTAACATGATACTTAGACAAATGTAAAGAAACATGCCAACACATATGAATTGTTGTTAGCATATATAGAAAACATACTTGTTGCAGGAGAAGAGCCTGTTCAGGGATTATGGAGTAAATTTGATTATGTGTTTTTGTTTCTGTCTCAGCTGGAGTTCACCAGGCAGCTCTTTCTACCAGCACCTCTTTTCATGGTTGTATAAGAAACCTGAAGATCACCAAGTCTTCTAAGACCATGGAGGTGCACTTCAACAAGGCTCTGGAGATTAGAGGAGTCCAGCCTCTTTCCTGTCCTGCTGTCGCTGCCTAATTCTCCTTACTGCTTTTCAATAAGGTCTCAGCTTTCCCAAGGGACCTAATGCCAATTTATGTGTTGACCCATTTCCTCAGAGTGAATTTGTGTGTTAGCTGTGCAGTCATTACTCTTTTAAGCCCTGCAACTTGTGACACGTTTCTCTATTCCCAAATTAGTGTACCTTTACAGCCATTCATTAATTCTACTCACAATTCATTTGCTTGGTGTAAGTACCTAAAAAATAAGTGCCCAGCTCAGCTACACTTTTTGCATTGTAACATCAAAAATGTCTTTGAGTGTTTTTCTTCGCTCAAATTGAAATATAAACAACAACAAGCCTAACCAAACAAGTATTCTGATGCTACCAACATGCAATATTGCTCAGTGTGATTTTTAAAGTACCAAATTCATCCATCAATCCATCCATCTTCTTCCGCTTATCTGGGGCCGAGTCGCGGGGGCAACAGCCTAAGGAAACCTCCCTCTCCCCAGCCATCTCCTCCAGCTTGTCTAGGGGAACACCAAGGTGTTGCCAGACCAGCCGAGAGTTATAATCTCCCCAGCATGTCCTGGGTCTGCCCTAGTGCCTCCTCCCAGTGGGACATGCCCAAAACATCCAGGAGGCATCCTTGCCAGATGCCCGAACCGCCTCAACTGCCTCCTTTGGAGGAGCAGCGGTTCTATTCTGAGCCCCTGCTGGATGGCTGAACTTCTCACCCTATCTCTAAGGGAGAGGCCAGCCACCCTTCGGAGGAAGTTCATTTCTGCCGCTTCTCTCTCTTTTGGTCGCTACCCACAGCTCATGACCATAGGATGAGGGTAGGGACGTGGATCGAATGGTAAATCGAAAGCTTCGCTTCTACACTCCACCCATCCCAGTTCTTCAAATATAACCTTAAACATCTACTAAGAAGTTGTCAGTTTATTATCAGACCTGCGCACAATGTGAAGCTCTGATCAATAAATTTGTAATGGCTATGAAGTGAGTCTCACTGTGTTTCAGTTTTTTTTATTGTGTGTTTTTTCTTCCTGTCTGTTCTTCGTATACCTTCTTTTCTAAAAAAAAAAAAAAAAAAAAACCCGGCTTAGAACGTCTGAGTTTTTGATCAATATGTTTTTAAGCAATAATGCACAAGAAACATTTAAGTGGCTGTGATCTCTCCCACAAAACTTGAGTATGCACTTAAAGCTTTACAACTATATGTAGAACATACACCAACAAATTACTAAAATATAAAAGTAAAAACATTTTTTTGATACTCAGGACAAAATCGTTTAATCCAGGAAGTGTACAGTTAGATCCATAATAATTTGGCAATCACTCATTTTTACCTCTTGACTGTAAAAGGCTGATAGGGTATTGCCATCAACTTTGTGAACACAATAACTTGAGATTGAGGCAGTGTACGATGTCTAAATCAATACTACAGGTGCATCTAGTAAAAATCTCAGACAAGTTATGAATATCAGTGACTTTGACCTCAAGGTCTTTTCAGTTATTTGGCCACTCCTAAAGCTTTTACTCTCTCTCGTGGATTTATTTTGTTTTTTCAGCCTCCATTACCTGCACTGACATCTGTTTGGGTGTCATATTGACAGTCTCGGTTACCAAAAGGAACTTCAACATTTGGAAAATAATGTGAACTATTGATCTGCTAACTTTGTCATGAAATAACGAGGCAACAGCTTCACCTAGTCGTCAAACTTCTTGTCAATTGTCAAAATACTTTTGAGCCTCTCAAAATATTTCTAATACTTTTGCTGAACCTCATGAATTAAAGCTGAAAGTCTGCACTTGAATCACATATTGCTGGATTTGAAACCCACTGTAGTGGTTTACAAAGAGAAATCCAAAAAATATGCCTTATTCAAATATAACATGGAGGCTATCGGAATAAAACAGTAGTCCTACTTGTTTGATGAAGATTAATATAAGACTGACTTACAGGAGGAAGATAAAAATAGAAAAGAGAAAAAAAATGTACTTAATAAAATATCCACCAGATGGAGCTATTGCACTTCACAGCTATTACTAAGATGGCAAGATACTAAAAGCTCTTTGTAGCATTAGATGTAATAATCAGTCTTTATTTCCCAAGCATCAAATTCAAGAGCGACAACACTTTAAAGCTGTACTGTTAACATTTAACATTTAGGTTTTAATAGTACATTTCTAAAGCGTACTTGTTGCCCAGCTGTAATGGTTTTGCGCATCGTGCCAGCAAATGACAGAAGGTGAGACGTTTAACCAGTACTTACTACTCAACGGACACTAGGGGGCAGTATGTAACTACAAAGTGCAAAGATACACCTGTTACATGTTACATGCATTTATTCTGGGATTTTATTGAAAGTGTCATCTGATGCATTTTCCCTGTAAGAAGAAAGAAATGGACATGCTGACATAAGGGTCCAAAACTCCATCTTTATTGTGCATTCCTCTTTTATTGTCATCTTTACACAAGGTGAAGAATGGTAAGAAGTCAGCCAAATAAACATTACTGTGGCTGCCTGCAGTGGAATGTTTAGAAGATCGAGTAAAGCCTAACCTTTATCCACCCACCCGTTTAAAGCAATACAACTGTTTGTAAACCTACCAACTCACCTTTTTATGACAAGATGTTCACCTCTGGGTGTCCACAACATATGTTTAGGGTAAAGTAATTATTGATTTGTAGATTAAGAATATGTCCAAATGATCAGGTCAACGCTGATTTTGGTTAGCTTTCCAGGATATGTGTGGCCTTCGTGTTTGGTGCCCTTTACTTGGATTTAAAAGCAGACATTTCAGCTTGTGCTTGTACTAACTTCAGAATTAGTAGCTACTGTTGTACATACTAACACATACTATTGTACCAACTACAGTACTACATTACACAGCTATAAGTGCAGGGAGACAGACAAAAGCAGCAAGTGTGCTGATTTAAATGTGAGCACACACTGTAACCAAGTAAACCGGCATTGGACATACAGAGGCATATCTTGTGTCATACAATAGTAAGTTGATCTAAAAGCTTTAGTCAATCAGAAGTTCAGTGTACTACACCACCTGGCAGTCAAGCATCTGTAAACTGCTCCCAACGTTTCATTCCCTTATATCATCGTAGTGAATGATGAGATAAAACAGCTAGCTACAGCATTTAATCTAAGTCTCGTTTGACATCTGTCAAAGCATTCAAGCATTCCGTGTTTATATCACTGAAAGTAAAAGCAATAGCCTCTTCAGCTACTATATTAACATGAGAGTAGATAGAGAGAAACAACTGAGCCCGGCTTTCCTTAGTACAGGTGATTTTTGTAGAAACTTCCTAAGAGGAGTAGCATTGTTTATCATCTACACTGTGACAGCACTGGTGTCAGGTCTGGTGACTTATTGCATGCTGTCGGTCCGCTTGAACTGATCTGAGGTGAGTTTCACATGTGGTAGTAGTCCAATCCAGTGGTGTAAGCTTGTTTGGCGCCCTTATCCACCTCCCATAGCTACACAAGCACACCC